TGTTATGCAGTTTTATATTTGTTTATATAGTCTTGTTCCTTAATTTGTTTACAGGTTAATCACATTTGAAATATTACTCTGCTATGAGTACAGATCATTTGTTGGTAACTAGTAATTAATTTACTGTTCAGGTATTACACTGTTTTTTCTATAATTTTCCTAATATGGAGTACATTAATAATGTTTCAAATAATAGTTACAAAAAGATTATGGTTTTGCCTTCAGGTACATGTTTATTAGTATGGGAGTGCATTTCATGCTGAAAGTTTATAAAAATGACATTATATATACACCTCTGCCCCTGTATCACACGGCTGGAGGCATGGTAGGTGTGGGACAGGTGCTTCTCCGTGGAGCTACAGTTGCTATTCGATCCAGATTCTCAGCTTCGAACTTCTGGACAGATTGCATCTCCTATAATTGCACGGTAAGTGCCTGGATATAGCTCAGATGGGGAAACATGAAAACAAGATATACATGGTAGAATTTGAGATTCTCACAGCAGCAAGTGTAAAGATGGCTTTCGTCTGGTTTGAAGCATTGTGCAGTGTGGTAGAGGTTTTGAAATGTTACTAAAACCCAGAAGACCTGAGGTTCGCTTCTCAGCTTGGAGAAAAGTTTTTATGATTTCCCTTTATCCTTCCAGGCAAATATTGAGATGCTACCTCAAATTCTCACAGTGGGTTCTACCTACATCCTTAATAATTTGTCATTCACAATCACTCTTACGTTCAGTGCCGTGTAAAGGCCGCCATTCACGATCGCTCCATTCGTCCAAATGGCGCGGTGTCGCTCCAAAATTGTACCGTGAATGCGGAAACTGAAGTCCATTGGCATGGCGTGGTGGGCTCGTTTGGATATTCTGTCGAGCCATAATCCATCCGATCACTCCATCGCGCCATCGTATCGTGAATGGGGGAATCGGCGATCGAGCCACTACAAATCGGTTCGTGAGTGGCGGAAACGTGGTCCATTCTCATGCCAGTCTGCCACGAGCCTTCGTCCAGTGAAGTCCAAACTTGTATAATGTCGGGTCGTGAGTTTGTTATTGAGGTGATTGAGAAATATAGAGAGTTGCCATGTTTGTGGCAGATAAGTAATGAAGACTATCATGATAAAGCTAAAAGAAGCTTAGCAATGGAAGAATTGGTGGTTTTATTTAAAACCAAAGATCCTACCGCCAACAAAGAAAATTCCCTTAGAAGTTGCTTCAGAAAGGAGCATAAGGACGTCAATTGCTTCTATTTAAGAGCCATTGCTTTGACCACTTTCGTTTTGGTTTTTTCCTTTTAATATACAGGCATACTGCCGTAGCTAGTACCAATTCTTCGTCCATCGCAAACACCACGCACTTCACAGAGGGACAACAAACCGCGACTGGCGTGACGCGACCGTGAATGTAGTACCTCTTTGGACGACATCCGTTTGGACGTCATCCATTCGGATGTCATCCATCTGGAGCGATCGTGAATGGCAGCCTTAATACATATGGTTCAGAAAGTGTCATAAACAGACAAAGTATAAAATGGAATGGTAATGGCAGTCAAGCTTCTGGAAATAGGTTGTATATTGGATGACTCTGGAGATGATGTCCAGTGGTGGGCTTACAGTTGGTTTTAGGTGTGCTGACATTTCAAGTTCTGTAATTATTTAATTGTGACATTTGCATGGACTTTGGGAAAGTGTGGTCAAATTTGTGGAATCAGTGTACTAAACCCTCCTTTTACTTAAAAGGATAAATTCCTTGAAAGCCAGTCATTAAATATATATTTTGTAAAATGAGAATTAATCTCAGTAATGCAAAGACAATAAGAAGAGCAACCTGAGATGATACATATACGTATATAAAGAAGTAGTAGATAATATACAGTAAACATATCTGTATTGTTTATTTGTTTATTGTAATGAATAAGCATGTGAAAGTTATAAAGGAAGGTAAATGTTTTGATGGCCACGGTGGTCTAGCGGTCAGAACACTAGCCTTGTAAGCCTGGGGTCCCAGGTTCAATTCCCGGTGGTGCTCAAATTTATAACTTGTGTTGGGCAAGGCCGTGGTCTAGGCATCACGGAGTTTTCCTCCGGGGGCTTCCCCGGTTTCTCCGTGGCATCCCAACAATTACTCCACTCACACACAGAAGAAGGCAATGGCAAACCACTTCTGATCATCTCTGCCAAGAATGTATATATGTATGAGCAGGTCCCTGACAACCTGAAGAGGTTGGAAGGATCCTGTTCATAATATATGGACCTGTCGTCAGACAGAACACTACAAATAAAAATAAATGTTTTGATATAAAACTTACATAAGTTTCTAAAGTTATGAGTGGAATGTGCAGAAAACAACACAGACAAAGATAGCGACTGATTGTGCAACGGATAGGAGGGCTGGTGGGCTGCACTGGAAACTTGGGGCCTCTCATGTTATTGTAGCAAAAACTCATTATGCGTATAGCAAAAAGAGGTATTATCTGTGTTGACCCAAGTCGTGTTCTTTTTCCAGGTGGCACAGTATATCGGAGAAATATGTCGTTACGTACTGTCAGTACCTGTTCATCCTCGAGAGAGGCAGCATAAAGTACGGCTCATGTTTGGCAATGGGTTACGGCCCCAGATTTGGGAGAAATTTGTCACCAGATTTGGAATAAAGCAAATTGGAGAGTTCTATGGTGCTACAGAAGGAAACTCAAACCTTGGTCAGTGTTATGTTTTATCTTGAAATGCTCTTTTTTAGGAAATAAATTTTGACATTCAAACTTTGTTCTTACATCCTAAAGAAAATAATTTTATCTGTAGTTTTATGACTTTCATTTAGAGGGAAGAGAGTGTTTTAAACAAAGCCCTGAGGAGAATATTTTGATGTGAGAAAGAGGAAGCATCAGGAAAATGTATAAAATTACGTTATTAGGTCTTTATATTTTTTGTATTTTACCTAATACTGTTAGAATGATTGAGTTTAGGAAGGTGAGATGTAGCACACGTGGTGAAAATAAAGAATGCACACAAAAATTGTCATAAATTTTCATGGTAAGAGACCACTTGAAAGATCTAGGTATCGGTTGCGTGGTCACATCCTTCGTCAGTCTCTTACGAACAGCTATTAACAGGAAATTTGCTAGATGGATGTTATGAACTTGCTACTTTCACCAGATTTCATTTAAATACATTAACTGGTTTGTGGGGTGAAACATATAGATACACAGATATATATGACTTTCCCATTAAATGTTTACTTTAAGTGGTGAATACAAAGAACATATAAAATCTGAAATGCTTCCAAGAAGTAAATTATGTTTAATTTACAGTGAACATAGACAGCACAGTTGGGGCCGTGGGATTTGTGCCTTGCTATGCAGGGAATTTGTATCCTGTGGGACTAATTCAAGTTGAGGAGATGACTGGTGAGCCATTGCGTGGGAAGAATGGACTTTGTGTACGATGCAAACCAGGTGTGTTTGTTATTAGGGCTTTTCAGATTGTCTTTTTCTCTTTGTGGTTGGGTGCATAATTTCTTTATTATCTTAAGCCAGACTTCAACATACCCATGTTTTTGTAACAAATATTTAAGAAAAAAAATAATTACTGGAACAAAGGAGTAAGCTGTGACTATCCTGGTGGCCAAAAAATGTAAGTTGTTAATGGTTTGTATTAGGATTGTGGGTTTGAATTTTGGTTGCAGCCTAGATGTTTGTCCATGTTGCTTCATGCCGTATACCCAGAGAAAAAGCCTGTCCCAGTGCCACATTTGCCTATTACAGATCCCATGTGGGCCTTGGGTACAAACCTGAGCCTCTGCAGTGAGAAACTGGTGACCTGTTCCGTGGCATGGTCCATTTGCCCCTCTTACTTCCTAGTTTATTTCTAGAGGCTGTGCTAGAATTTCCAGGCTGTTTCATAAAGTAATTTAATGTTAAAAGGGACCTCTGCACTCAATATAAGTGCTGGAAATTCAGTATTTTGCATAGCATTGCTGAATCTGTCTAGTTGACATTCTGGGTTTGGTGAAACATCTTTAATTTTATGTACCTGGATACTGAAGATTTCTGTCGTCTGGGTTGTTGCGCTGTGTAGTCTGGTAGATGTTTACCAACATTTCAGAGGTCATACTGCCTCACCCTGATGATGGAGGCAGCATATCTCTCAAACGTTGGTAAACATTGACCAGACTACACAGCGCAACAACCCAGAAGACAGAAATCTTCATACTCATCGCCCTGATGACGGAGGCAGTATGACCTCTGAAACGTTGGTAAACATTGACCAGACTACACAGCGCAACAACCCAGAAGACAGAAATCTTCATACTCATCGCCCTGATGACGGAGGCAGTATGACCTCTGAAACGTTGGTAAACATTGACCAGACTACACAGCGCAACAACCCAGAAGACAGAAATCTTTGTACTCACCGCTATGAAAACCTCTTTATCATATATAACCTGGATACTGTTGTCTAAACCATCATGTCATTGAAGAGAACTTCCTAGTTGGACTAATTTTATCTTCCTTGCTTTTTTGGTGTGGTTTTAGAGTAATGAATTTGAAAATTTTCCACTGTGTCTCTTCCTGAACCTGTAGTTTGTGTGAATTATTGAACTGTTTAACATCGTATTCGTCTTTCATGATCTCAGACTGATGTGGCATGAAATAGTCAAAGTATGTGCTTGTACATTCGCAGGAGAGCCTGGGATTTTTGTTGGGAAGATCAACCCTAAGAAAGTTGTCAGCTCATTCACTGGGTATGCGGACCAAATGGAATCCAAAAAGAAAATCATTCGTAATGTGTTTGCGCATGGTGATCAGGTGTTTAATACTGGTAAGCTAAGCAGCTCACCTTGTACTGAGATAAGTTGAATGGATTTGATGGGCTGGGTTTGACTCTCAGATGTGGAAGGAAGAGTTTTGATGAAGAAGACTCTTAGAATATTATTTGAAAGATCGAGGGGGATATGGACAAACAATATTAAAATGGGAGGATGGCAAATAGATTCTGAGGTTGTGAACTCAATTGAAGTGATTTGAGATAATATGCAAGTGTGGGTTTTGGTTTTTGTGGTATGAATCTTAAGGTTCTGTTACTATATAGTTACACGCTTATCAGTAATATTACTGAAGTTAGTCACATACTTTAATTTAGTCAGGTTAGTTGGTTTTAGTTCACTTAAGGCACATAATTTGAAGTTGGTTATTTTAGTTTTTCTCTTAACTGCTGAATTTTTAATAAGCAAAGTACCTGTCATCATAGTCATCATCATCCTTTCCAATATTAATTATATTAATGGATGTCATGAGAAAGAATTTAAAAATGTCTGTGTAAATAAATTAAAATATTTTAAAATAAATTCTTCATATCTATTACAAAACCTCTGCATAAGTGTACATCATCTGTTACTCGGTATGTGAACTATTTAGACTTTATTTTTGAAAGCCTTTGTTTTTGTTAATTAAATTACTGTTACTGATTATTGCATGGACATTTTAAAATGTGACTTTTAACCCATCCACTGCTTGCGTGATGTGGTTGCACTACGTGCTCATAAATGCTGTGTGCCAGCTGACTGCATTGGCACGTTGTGAATTTCATTACTTCATCACAAGTGTCAGCATCCTTTTACACGTATTGTATTTTCTACAGAGCATGCTTGAAGCTTCTACTAGCAGTAGTAGCTTTGTAAGTATAGTCACTTTTTCATTACATCTTCACTACCTGTTCTAATACAAGATGGCTGCTCATAATAGATATGTAGGATAGAAATTTGTTTATATAAATTTCTTTCTTAAAATGTGGCACTGACACAAATTTTTATTATAATATTAATAGACAAAATATGAGCCGGGATTGCTCAGTCAGTATAGTGACTAGCTACGGGCTGGATGACCGGGGTTCGATCCCCG